AATTTTCTGGTGCTCTTTCTCCAGTTCTCCAGTCCTCTGTTTCCTTCAGTGTTTGTCTTCTTCTTACCTGAGTCCATCATCTTCTGGTATTTCTTTATTATCAATCAACCCTCTGCCTTGTGATTGTGTGTATGTTTTAAAGGGTTAAAGGCTTTGGGGTTGTTTTCAGTTATTCAATTAGTTTGGTGAATCAGAGAAAATTCAGAATGTGTACGGTTGTATTTTTTCTGTTTGATAAGAATATTTCCTTTCTTGAAATTTTAAGTTTATTTTATTTATTAGACTAAAAAAGCTATGAGAACTAATGTAACGGAGCGAATTTGTAGCACGCACACATCCTGCTGTTGAAACTAGAGGGTGACACAGGAGCTGATTTTCGCTCCTGTCCCATCCCACTCCTTTCCTGTGGGAGGCCTGAGCTATTGGACTGTCACCGCTTGAGGTACAATGTGGTATTACGAGATAATACTTGGGCATCTTTGACATAAAGTCAGAACTGTTACTACTTCACATTCTGTTGATAATGTTAGTTCTGTTTTGAATGTTTTAAACTAAATATTACACATTCTAATTTTGAATACAGAGAAAGAGACATTGGTTCTACCAGGTTCTATCACATAGGTTTCACCCATAGACTGTACGTGAAGTGGACGTAGTCATCATGATGTCACACGTTGGTTTGTGGACCGCCGTTTTGAAGCCTCCAGTTTAGCCTTTAGGCTGCCGCCATGTTGATTTTTTGCAACCAGCGGCACCGGACGTGACCATATTTGGACGAGACGGTGGAGCCAACGGCTGTGTGTGGAGCTAGCTAGTTATCATTTTAACAGGGCTGAGAACTTTGTCTAGCGAACAACAGGCTTAAAACAAAATGTACTCACCAGAGAAAGTGAACAGCCAACTCCTTATAAGCCTTTTCAACGGCACAGTGCCGTGGGTATGAGTCACTCTAGCCTGATAGCCTGACAGGTCGCCATAGTAATGACTTTTCAACAACAGGTAGTCCCACCATGAAGCATACTCTGCTATATGGTCTATTTTCCTCTAAATGGGACCATAATTTACTAAATGAACATCTTGCTGTATTAAAGACATGAACCTAGAGACCATAAACTCATTAAGAAAGTGTTTACTGAGGTAACAAATCAGGTGAGGAGTAGCCTCATTTTACCATTATATCTAATGGAACCGGACTTCTTTTTGCAACCAGAGGAGTCGCCCCCTGCTGGCTGTTTGATAGAATGCAGTTTTAAGGGACTTCCCCATTTGCCTCACTTCTCAGATCCAGTGATTCCCACTTGGTTTCACCACTGCCCCTTTAGGAGACTAGCAGCAGGTCCTAAGTTTATTCACTCCAATGAGAGAAGTGAATGTGAGCACAGATTATAGCTGATTCCTCCGCCCCATAGTCACAGAAGTAAATACTGGACCCATTACTTACAAGCCATATATCTTCCAGACATTTTGACTCTAAAGTGGACAGAAAAATCGCTAGAAAATGAACTTTGATCAAACCTGTCTCTGTCTCAGCTGTTGGTGCTGGACTGCGGTCTGCTAAGGGGACTTAAATGTAAACCATAAATTAAAAGTTAAAACTCAAATAAAATATGTGTTCCTTTGTTTGATAATACCATTATTGTTATTATATTTACAGTAACTGGTGAGAGGCGACCGTCATGCGCGAAAACGTGCTTGGATATCCTCACGTCATCTTTCCTGCAACGGTTTGATCTTGTTAGGAAAAAGGCCCATAGAGTGAACTTGTGATGGGTGAGTTCAGAGTAGGATCAGGGATGTAAGTTGCGATTGTTACCTCTTGTATGTTGGAAAATGCACACTTACTGTAACCTGTCTGTGTAACATATCTGGCTGCTTTGCCACTGTGTTGATAAATGATGAATAGGCCTATTTGCTATTGTGTGATAATGCCTGTAGACTTACGAGTTGCTGTGCTTATCTTGATGGCTACAGTTCTATGCTTATCGTCATAGTGTCTCTCTGTGATTAGTTAGTGTAAGCTGAAAATATTTCGGCTGTTGGGGGTATTCTGTGGCCGTAGTTGTGATTAATTTGGCGTTTGGGCAGCCGCTGTCCATGGTTTTGATCAAAGGCTCGTTTGTCCGGGCCCAAGGAAAATATTTGCACGGGGGGCCCAGCATAACATTAGTATTAGTTTTAGACACAGCTCTAGTCACGCATAGCCAGACCTATGTCCACACTTCATTCTGTTGTGCCAGCTAGGTCCTGCCCCTCTCCTGGCCTTAGGGAAGTTGGCCAATCCAAAAAAGTCGGCATTTAAGTGGGAGGACTTAAAGAGACAGGAGCTAAAACGGTGTGCTCAGACAGAGGGTGAATGGAGGTACTGAAGAAGAGGACAGTATGAGAAAAATGATGTGTTTTGTGAACGTTAAAGCATGTAAACGTTTTCGAATAGACAACTAAAATAAAAGTATGAGCATGAAAATATGCATAATATGGGACCCTTTTCGGATGCTCCTACTTTTTGGGATGTAAATATCTGAGCAGTTTGGGTCAGACACTAGGCCAGTGGGTGAAAACCCACCCCATTTAATAACTTAGAAACAAAACAGCAATCAATTGGCCGTTGTTATTTTTGGACCCAGTACATTGCTTCTGCTCTTCAACGAGATGCTATAGCAACAAGACACAACTCCTCCTAAAATCACTAATTGATGTTTCTGCATTTCTTTTCATCTATGAATTAAACAACAAGTTGATATCACATTTGTGCGCTTTAGATGTGCTTGTATTTTTATTCTTTTCACACTTTTCCCCCCCTGCTTCTAATCTTTATGCTAAGCTAGATCAACTATGCCCTGACTCCAGTTCAAAACTTTGCACACAGACAAAATGGGACGGACTATCATGCTCAGCAGAGCAATAACATAATGCACAGGTAGACTTTTATGAATACTCATTAAATGATGAAGGTAGTCTCGTTATATCTGGACATGTCAGAGAACACAGATATGTGGGAGAGATTGTGAATGTGCAGAAAGTTTTGAACATGAGCAGAAAACCTGCTGAAACACTGGAGCTATTAAAGTCCAGGAGATTCTAACTGAATTAAAATTAATTAATTTATCATTAATGTGTAAAGGTACCACGTGCACATTTAAAGAGGTTTCTTCCCCAAACAAAGACACAAAGAGGAGGGAAGACTAAATCAGCTTGCACGTGTGCTGACTCAGCAGGGATTATATTACGTGAGAAAGGTTGATCTGCAGGAGAAACAGATGTAAAAGCCTGAGAGTCTTACTGCATTATATTTAGAATTTTCGCCTGCCACCTGAATTTTGTGTTTCCCTTTATGTAAATAAAATATTAAGTTTTTAATGCTCAAAATGTTCATATACTGTAATTCAGCATTGAAGATTTCTTAAAAGTAGTGAAATCTTGTCTTGTCTCGATCTGGTGAACCCAGTATAGTGTCTTGTTGAGCGTCTCGTCACAGCCCCATCTAATTTACGTTGTGTTAACCTTTTTTTAAGAAGGAAATTAGACTAATACCTTCTCTCAACGTAGCTTTCTCCTGACTGGAGAGCATGCGAACCAAGTCACCAAATAAGGGAGATACTGGAAATCAGATATAAAAAATATTAATATAAAAAAAACATTCAAAATTAGGGTGCAGTGGTTAGCACTGTCGCCTCACAGTTGCCCCAGCCTTTCTGTGTGGAGTTTGCATGTTCTCCCCGTGTCTGTGTGGGTTCTCTCTGGCTTCCTCCCACCATCCAAAGACATGCAGGCTAGGTTAATTGGTGACCCTAAATAAGGTGTGAGTGTGCCTGGTTGTTTGTCTATGTGTGGCCCTGCAATGGCCTGGCAACCTGTCCAGGGTGTACCCCGCCTTTCGCCCAATGTCAGCTGGGATTGGCTCCAGCCCCCCAGTAAGCAGGATAAGCGGTTGATGATGGATGGATTTAAAATTAGGATTTTTTTTTTTTTTTACAATTTTGCTACAATGATGGTACATGCTATTATCAATTTGACAATACACATATTTCTCTTATACGCTATCCAAGGAAATGGTATCGCCCAAACCCTGCCCGTGAACAGAGTTCTTCATGTGTCCAAGTCTGGACAGTTTTTCAAGTTGACATAAGGGGTGTAATCAGCTGTGTCCACAAAGTCTTGATCGTGTTTTTAATGGGTTATAGTAGAATTTTGTTTTATTGATATTGGCTATACATATATTACAAAGGTCCAGACCTCGGTGACGTCATAGCTGGCTATACAACCATGAGTGGAAGCTAAAGATTACGCTGAAAACTGAAAAGACAGTCTGCAAATTTAAATCAATTTTGTTTTGGATTGTGGATCAATGTTGGATGAATTCAGTAACCGTGGTTTTGTGTTTTATTCACAAATTCATTTAAGTATTATAGTATTTAAATGCTTCTGCCATCCTAGAATGACAGAAAATAACATGATTTTTCAGAGACGAAGCTGAAATAACTAAATCTGTTGGTCATAACATAAACCTACAGGGTTGTAGCATTAGGAGTGAGTCCAGTGTTCTATGTTCAGAAAAATGAAATGGGAATACACAATGGGCAAAAACACTTCCAGACCCAGCAGCGGTGATGAGTTTTGATACTGGAAATACCACTGCATCAGACTTCCAACCTAGAGTTAAAAGAGAAATAATATTCTGTGTTCTCTCCTGTGCTTCCACCTTTTCTCTCACTTTGATCTTGTTAACTTCATGCAACCCTCTGCCCAGACCGCTGTTTTGCACCGATTTTGTCTCCAAACCTGCCTTATCCCCCTGTTTCATTGCCCTGACTTTCAATCTTGCTTTGTTCTACAACTCAGCCCTCTTCCCATATCGATTTTCTTTCCTGTGCTGCTTTGCAATGGAACATCACCTTGACCCATCACTCTGAACGTAATCACATGCACCATCTGATATTCATTTAATATTCATTTGTCAGGCTCTCTACTCACAACTCTCATCCACTCCTTTTCCCCTCCAGCTGTGTGTTTGGTACTCGGCTGTATGATCTTCCCGAATGGCTGGGACTCCGAGGTGATCCGGGACATGTGCGGAGAGGACACAGCGAAGTACACCCTTGGCAACTGCTCGGTGCGCTGGGCCTACATCCTGGCTATCATTGGTATCCTGGATGCCCTCATCCTCTCCTTCCTGGCGTTCGTGCTTGGCAACCGGCAGAGCGACTTCCTGCAGGAGGAGCTGAAGGCCGACAACAAAGGTGAGAAGTGGAACATTAACACATATAAGCACTTTTTGTTCAAATTACTGGGGCTGCTAGCGCTGTAGTGAGCAATAAATTGGGATTCCAGTGTCACACGACTGTAATGTCGACTGTTACACAGCTTTCAAATGCAATGCATTGTGGGAATGCTAGTCGAAACTAGTGTACATGCCATGGGTACAACTTTTTTCATTCCATTGAGAGTCTAATAAATAATAAATGAAAACACCTGCATGGGTGTGTCAGGCCTTTGAGGGGAAATTAAAGCACAGTGTATTTATAAAAGTGAGGTGCGGTGGAGCAGTTGTTAGCACTGTCGCCTCACAGCAAGAAGGTTGTGGGTTCGAACCCTGGTTGCCCCAGCCTTTCTGTGTTGTGTTTGCATGTTCTGCCCATCATTTTCAATCATCAATTGTGGTTGTCTGTCTACATGTGGCCCTGTAATGGACTGGTGACCTGTCCAGGGTGTACCCCTCAATGTCAGCTGGGATAGGCTCCAGGCCCCCCCGCGACCCTGTATGCGGGATAAGCGGTTGACGATGGATGGATGGACATTAAGAGGATTTAATGTGCTACTTTTTGACCAAAGCAAAAAAAAATAGACAATCAAAAAATGCTACAAAAAAGATGTGTTGTATTTAGTAATCAGGATCAATTCAGTGGTAACTAAAGAAAGGATTTAGGAAGTCAGGTGACATGGGAAACAGAGCACATAAAGGGAGCAGGTATAGTGGATGAATGGGTCAGCTACAGGCCTTTCACCTGGGAGATCAGGGTTTGGTCCCTGATCTTTTGCTAAGCCAAGCCAGATTCTTTCTAACACGTGGTTAACGTTGTGAGATGGTCTTCGCTTAAATACGCCAGTTGCTGAATAAAGTAAATTATGGATCCTTCAAACATGCACACATCCTAAATTGAGGACACATTTGGTTTGCATGCGTGATTCATTTGTTCATGCAGGGTATGACATGGATAAATTAGCATATGCACTTTAATTGATCAGGAAAATGATTTTTATAGCAGCACATAACAGCATGTTACAAACTTTAATAAGGGCGACATCTCGCAACATCTTTTTTGTAACCATGGTAAATGTAGACCTCCTCACTAGTGCTGACTAAGCTAACAAAACCCTCAAACACTCAGCTGTGTGGTTGATATAGTTGTGGCTGGTGTGTTACAGTAAATGTTGATCGTAGCCTTTTCTGTGGATGTCTGGTGTTGTTATGAGAGCTATCACAGCATCATCAGAGGAGGTGAAGACTGTGTTGAGAGAAATGAAGAAGGAACTCCCCGAGTGTGTGGAGGAAGTTTCCATGGTTACGTGTCAGATTCCAGAAGGATGAGGCTCTGGTTTCCTCTCACTGCATATGTCTGTGTCTGTCCCTCTTTCACTGTCTGCATCTCAGTCTTTGTCAGTGTTTAGTGTTTAGTTCTTTTGTTTTTCTTTTCCTTTCTCTCTCTCTCTCTATCCCCATTCCCTTCTGCCTCTCTTTGCAAAGCATGTTTTGCATCTGTAAGTCTGTAAACCTGACAGGTGTCGTGCACAAATATTTGCATAAATGCCTGCCATCATACTTGTGACATTAGAGATGAACTCTGAACTCTGAATCTCTGAACTGGAGATACATCTTCCATTTCATCTCGTCTCATTACTGAATAGTTTATTTACTTGAAAAGGTGATGTTTGTTTTTCATTTACTGTGATAGAGAGCGATGATTGCAGCGAGCAGAAGGTTTGTAGTGTATTCTCATTTCTGTTACTTTCACTTTCTACCATCATCAGAAACACAACCAATCACTCGTTGTCTCCATGCAGCATGTTCATAGTCGCTGTAGCTCAAACGTAGTTAGATTTTTGAGGAGGCACGACGCATGTAACCTGTCAATGCAGATAAAGTAAAAGGCTGTGGCAGAAAATAAGAGCTGGAGTTCCGCTCTTCTTTATCTGATCTGTCACACACACATATTCTGTGCGTACAGTTGCAGCAAACACTGTGGCTCTAGGAGCATGCCTATTGGTTGTTTGTGGCTAATATCATAGACTGCAAAAACACTGTAGTGATCAAATTCACACGTAAATAAAGACAAACCAACAGGAGAATGAGACTGTCGTGAGAAAAGGTATAATCAGGCACAAAAGGTAAAAACCACTGTGAGGGTCTTTAAAATGTCCTCCACAGGGCAGTGTAGCGTGTAATTAACCAGAATATTCAGGACATGAAGAAGAAACCTATAGATGCCAGGTCTTTGACTGTAATTAACGATTCACACACGCACTACCTCTACATCAATGAAATGAGACAATGTGTCTACATTCAGGCAGCCAAAAATATTGCTAATAATTTTCACTTTGTTTGTTTGAATGATAGAATTTTTGTACTTTTTACTGTAACAAAAAAATCTTCACTTTCCAAGCTTGGGCATCTCATTAGTACTTCATTCATTCTCACAGGGGAGGACCGCGGAGGGACCACTGACACTGCTGTATATACTGTGTGTGCACTATAGCGTTTGTATCGCTTCAAGTTAAATTCAGTTTCCAGGTAAATTAAGGAAAATATTCATCTTTGCTCTTTTTGTCTTTTCTACAGACTTTGCTGTGTCAAGGGTAAGTTCACATTGTCGTTGTTATCATTGTGGCTTGCGTGTGTGTGGTCTCATAACTGTGAGTGGTCTGTATTATTGTGTGGTTATGCATGGCAGTGTGTGTGTGTGTGTGTGTATGTGTGTGTGTGTGTGTGTGTTTGTGTCAGTTTGCTGAATTGCTAATGCAAAAAAGTCTAAAATCCATACCTCATGAAATCTAACACATTGAAACTATTACTAAACAAAATGGCAGTCATTTATTAAAGGCGCGAGGGGTGGCAAAGCTGAAGAAGAAACAGGATAAGTAAGATAATGAGATACATGTTGGCATGTTAGAATAAAAGTTGTTAACGTGTGTCTGAACACATTAACACTGTACCTACATATATACTTGCTGTATAATTCATGTGTTGTGTGCAAAACACTACCAGAAGCACTCTGGCCTGTCAGGCAGCACTTACTGGGCTTCCACATTTGCAATGCCCCGAGCAAAGAGGCAGGGGACTTCATATGCAGCCTGAGAGGAGGCAATGGCTTGAATTTTCATCTACTTGTTTTTATGTGTGGCTTGCAATTTTCAAACAAAACTATTTCATTAATATATGAATATAACATAAACGTGTCTAGCTCGTATGTCGTCAAACGGAGCCGTTGGTAGAAAAAGCAGTTCAAAACAGAGCATTCCTCCAGAACAGGAGGAAATCTGATGTTTTGGCGCACAGGGATTTCTTTTAAATACTTTAACCTCATTATTTGAAGCTTTGGCCATGTTTAACATGAACATCCAACATTGTAACACTGTAGATAAGTCATAAAATATGGAAAAGCATAATAGGTCTCCTTTAGGTAATGCATAACTAATGCATGACTCATGGTGATTTAATGCAGGATGTATTATGAATTTCTGTTGCTCACTATTAAGAAATGTCACTATCAGTTTATGTGATTATTTAACACTTAATGGATCATCAGTTAAAGACATTCATCAGACTTCACTTAGTCCCCTCTGGAGCCACAAAAATATTTACACAACTTATCTCACACAAGCATTACCCAACACCTGGAAACATACTTTGATGTGTTACCCTTTAACTTGCAGTTACTTCAGCAGGAATCCAGTAACATAAAAATAGCATTTCAGACCCACACACTGGATCAGTGATCTCTAAAAGCAGAGCATTACTCGTTTTCATAAATATTAAAGTTTTTATTAAATCAGCGGTCAGTAACTATGGAACATACAATGCAAAACCTTCCGCGTCTCTCTCTCTTTGTATCACTCCGCCCACCAACCCAGAAGAAGGAGCCAGTTGCCCTGTGAAACATCATCCGTCGTAGGATGGCGGTCCCTCTCGCTTCAACCCGTAAGACATCCCTCTTCTGTGTCGCGGCCTAGGGCAGAGCGCCCCAGACTTCAGAGGCAGCTGCTACAACGTCTAACAGTGGGATGAGAGGCTAGTACCCCACAGCCCCCGTTCAAAAGTTATTCCCAACTGTTTGTCCTCGTGCCTTTTTGCCATTCGTCGATGCGAGCGCCATGACATAGAATCTAATGAAGTTCACTCATGTGTAGCACAAAACACGTGTTGTTGGCAAAGGAGGGATGGGCAGTTCTTTTATTGCTGCTGGTTGTTTCTCAGCCATTGTGTTTGCAAAACTTCGAAGCCGTGCTGAAGATACTGGCTCTGATTGGTTGTTTTGACCCTCGAGCAGTGGAAGTGGCATTAGAAGCAGGAGAAGGAGCCAGATGAACTTGATTTTGTTTAAAGATTATATGTCTCATGTATCTCAGTTGTTTATAACGTTCACTAAGTTCACAAAGTCACAATCAGCTTCCTGACGTTAACACCCAGTTTTTACTCACTTCTGTACAATGTAGTACTATGTAAACTGCTGATGTATGTGTGTCTGTTCTCCCCTGATCTGTCACCTGGACCTACGAGATGTTTTTGGTTTTGTGCTATACTCCCCTTTCTTTCAACAACAACAACAAACAAATATATGGATAGAATTCTAAAAAGTTCCTCGTTCACGCATCAAACCATCATGAGTTATGTAACACTAAAGTCGCTTAGATGGAAACACACGGATTTCTTTTGACAACTCTTCATTTTATGTTTTGCATTTAAATGAATGAATGACTATATCATAAGGGAGGAGTATCCAAATGCCAAATTTAAATAATAAGTTAGTCTAATTAATTGATTGTCACTATTCACAGCCTGTCTTTAGGTCTAGGAGTGTAAAAATTGTAAATTAAATTATTATTTGTATTCTTTGTTCTGGGTGGCACGGTGGTGCTGTGGTTAACATTGTTGTCTCACAGCAAGAAGGTCTGGGGTTCTATCCTTGGTCGTCCCAGGCTAGGTTAATATGAGACTCTAATTGGCCCTTAGGTGTGAGTGTGAGTGGTCGTTTGTGTCTGTGTGCCCTGCGATGGACTGGTGGTCTGTCCAGGGTGTACCGCCGCTTGCCCAATGCAGGTTGGGATTGTGGTTGACGATGGATGGATTCTTTGTGGTGTCGTACAGTACATCTTTAGTAGCTGGTTTCTGACATTGGTAATGGTCAAATCAAAGCATTGAAGCCTACACTTCCGATAACGCAGCTCAATTATTGCCTGAAAAACACAACTTCAGGGTGTTCATGTGTCATTGTTTCAACCAAATATGTTGCTTTCAATGTTTTAAATAACCAATCTTTTAAAACTCTTGCACAGATCATGTCTCACAGTCCATCACATGTCAGACTAATCCTGCATGTAACTGCCAACTTTTGTAATTTAAGCACACGGTAATCCATTCCTGTTCAGTGAGTACAGTTTCCCCTCAGCTGGCGGTACCTGGTGTCAGGTCAGATATCCTGCACTCCTCTTCATCAGACAGATGATGTTTGGTCACATTAGAGGCCGTGGTAAAGTGATATATTCCATTCAGGGGACATGAGCAGGCCAAAGAGCTGTGTTGAGGCAGAGGGGTAGAACAAGAGAAGGAATCAGTGGGAAAACAAAAGGTGGATGCATTGTTGTGAGAAACATCCTTGGGCACACTGCTTTCCCAAAGGAGCGAGGCCTACTGCGAGTGGAGAGGAGACGTCAAATTGAGGAAGGCCTTTCACTGAGGAGTGTGTCTGCTGCGTACACCAGATCCTCCGGCATTCACTGTGTGTGTAGTCAGCATCAAAGAAAGATCAGACCGAGAGAAAAAAAACAAAACAAAGCCTAATTACAAGCCAAGCTGATCTAAAGAAAAAGCCCACAAACACAAATGTGACGTGAGCAGCTGGGCGCCTCGGTGCATGAAAAATAAACTGTTAAAAGCACCAGCACGAGGAAACCCATCTCTACTGCTTCAAGAGGAAGAGCTGGGCGTGTGTAATCTGCCTTAATGTTTTTTTCCTGCCTAGTCTTTTGTCTTACATGTCTCAAAATGAAAAAGAAATAATGCTTTAAATATTTTAATATGCAGTGTCTGTGGTGTATTTCAGAACAGTTTTCAACGTTACATTGTGCATGTATTGTTTGAAAGCAGATGGAGAGCTGAAAGGAGAAGTTGTTCAAAGAAAATAATATGTATACAGTGTGTCTATATAGAGTAGATACTAAATCATCAAGAGGATCACAGTTAATTGTTTTTAGGGCTGCCACCTACTAAAGATTTTCCTAGGCGACTAGTGGTCGCTAGTTCAAGCCATTAGTCAATTATTCATTTATGATATTAAATTAATTATTTAGATAAAGGTTTTGTGAGCAACAGAAAAAGGTTTCATTTCCAGGCTGAGAAAGAATGTTATAAGTAAAAGTGTTAACACTGTACTACATTACCATCTAACACAAAACCGTAATAATGAGTCGTTAAAATATACAATCTTGCACTGACAGCTCGAAACATGGACCACTTGCCGAGTGCTTGATCTGGGATGTTGATGGGGCAGGTCTCTGTAACGATGTGGGCACAACAATCTCTGAATTCTCTGTCTGGTCAACACGAGTTCCATTTTGTCCAGACCGGATCTTTAGGAGCAGAATTAAGTCCAAGCTGGGCCAGCATGGCTCCTCTCCTGGCGCTCCTTCCTCTCCTCTAAGCGATCACCGCACCCGCTGTGGCGCCCGGTCCAGTTGACTGGGCCATGTGGATCATGGTCTGGTGCTCTTAAAAACCCTGTCTTCATCTTCCGGTGACTGTACTTATGTCAGAGGTAACACATGTTTTGGCAATAAAGCCGGGAAAAAAAGATAAATAACAAAAGTGTAGTAAAGTTTGAAGGAGCTACCACTCCTCTTGCTTTTACAAGAGCTGCGGCTTGCTATCACCCATGTCTTGATGTCTTGTTCAAAACACAGGAATTCACAGACTTATTAACATGATGGATGATATAACTACTACTTACAATTGAACTCGCTACAAACTTGCTCCTCTCTGCTTGACGTCTCTCCTGCCCACGCCTGAACCCGCCATCGTCCCCGGAGTTCTGGTCGGAGCCGCTGTAATTCACCTCAGTACTGTATTCCAGTGGCCTCTGTCGGTTTTGGATTCTGTGTTCGATCCCAGTCCATGTTCAGTGGGAAGCTGCAGAGACCAGTTCCATTGCCCACTCGCTTGGCACCGGTTCTCTTTCTGGCCTCGCTCTCCAACAGTCTCTTCCTCTCCGTGGTCTAAAGCTAGTGGTGTAAACAAACACCAACACTCCCCCGGTACTCTGAGCTCCCAGTACAGGTAGAGTCACCTAACAGAACCACTAACTGGGATAACTAGCCAATGGCAGAGCCTATAGTTAGCAGCAATGCCATGTATAAGACACATGACCATGGATGCGTAATAACATCCACATCCATGGCACTGACAAGAAGTGCGCCTGCGTGTGACTTCTGTGTTGCAAGAGAAAAGGTTTTGTTGCAGCAATCCCCTGAAACTTTTCGTCCTGCAGCTAACTGACCAATGAAAATTGGTCAACTAAGACACTTCTCATCAACAGTTTAGTTGACTATTAGGGGCAGATTTAAAAAAACATAATGAAAGTCAA